TTGCATTTTTACTATTCCGGCTTCGGTCGAGGAGAGTGAGGGGATTATGCATTGCACATGGAGGGTCCTTAGCTACGCGTGTGATGCACGCGCAGAGACGATTTGACGGTACCGGTGTTACTGATAGACCCGATGAGTCGTGCTATGACTCGTATATGTGTCCTGGACTGGTGATACCAGCTCAGTTTACTATCCTATGTGTGTGATGCACATAGAGACGATTTGACGGCTCATGTCCGATGACTTGTGATTCAGACTGTTTGTGCTTGATGCATGTGTTAGACGCTATGACATGATATGTTTGGACATGTATATTTACATATTATGTGTATAATATTGCTTGTGCTTGGCCATTTGCAATTTGAGTATGATCTTCGGGTTTAACCCGAAGTACTCACTAAGCATATAGCTTATGGACGTTGTTATGCAACGTTTCAGGTTCGGATCAGCTTTGGCAGCAGCAGGACGAGGGTACTGGTGATGAGTGAGACATTTTCTCCGGATCATGTATACTTTCCTCTCTAGACGTGTACTGTATGTTTGTCGTTGATGGTATATATCGACTATGTATTATATCGTATTCATCGTCTTTATATTATGGTGTGTACGTCTACTGTATGTGGGTTTGTTGTGTATAAACATATTTCCGCTGCGTATGTATAATATAAAAATGTTTTAAAATTTCCGCTATTTTGATATATGGTTTGATCGTCCATGTGGCGCAACTCGTGGGCGGAACACGGGTTACGGACGTCACAACCGTTGCGTCGGAATCTACCTTTAATAAGAGTGATCGTGTTATCGATCCATTTCGTAGTTCTCTTACTCCGCAATTGGTTGAAGCTTTGATTTGCACTCAAGATTGGCTTCGATCGGATTATGGATTAGTAACACTTGAAGAATCGTTGGATAACCTTGCAAAATTTGAAGAATGTATGATTTATTATAAATTTATGTATGTATATTAATATTTTATAAATTTATTATTTTATTTTGTGTGTTTAATTTTGTAGATTATCCGATATCAAAGGGAAGTGAAAGTCATCTTGAAAGAGGATATAAATCGGATTAATAAGATAAACAAATGGTAAGTCTATTTGTATGTGTTCTCTATATTGTTTAATTTTTTGTCTTATGATACGATTTTTTTTTATAGATCCAAAAAGATGTTAGTAATGACAATGGACACGTTAATGTGGTGGTGAAGTTGAAGATGAATTGGAATTATGTTCAAGAAGTCGAAGATGAATTGAAATTATATTTTTTTTTATATATTTGGACCGTGTTTTATGTGTGATTTTCTTTAAATATTTACATTTTTATTGAAAATTTGACTTTAAAATCCAGGTTCGCGTACTCGCGGGTACCCAAATATTTTTTCGGGTGTTCGATCAAGTCGGGTTACAATTCAAGTAATTTTTTATAAAAAGATTCGGGTTCGGATAACCCTAAAATTCTGAACTCGTGCCCACCGCTAGTTGTGTGTGTGTTTGGTTTGGTGTGTTTTTTTAAATGGTGGTTGCATCACCTTTTTTTAAATTAATTTAATTATTATTATTTTCCACATGGACAGAGATTTAGGTGCCCTCTCATTTATGTTTTTAATTTTAATTATTTTTAAATTGGGATTAAGCTCATATTATTACAATCTCCTTGAAGAAACGCATTCTGAACATCCATCTGTCATAAATCTCCAGATAAATTAGTAGCCAATGAAATGATAACACGAAAAGATTTGAGGTTGGTGACGGGGGCGAATGTTTCAGTGTAGTCCTCGCTATATGTTTGGGTAAAGTCCTGAACGACAAGTCGGGCCTTGTAGCGTTCTATCTCGCCATCCCTCCGATATTTTATTTTGTATACCTATTTGCTACCAACAGCTTTCTTTTCGGGGGGAGGGGGGAGAGATATGTTATTGTCCAAGTATAATTCCATTAAAGGGCAGATAATTCGTCACTCATAGCTTGATGTCATACTTGGTGTGTTAGCTTTTGTAAAATCACGTGGCTCCATAACCTATCAAGGTTACTGCACAAAGATACAACAAGCATAGAGTGAAGAGAGGGAGAGAGAAGAGATTGTATTGGATACTTCACCAAACAACCAATAAGAGTTGTATCTGAGGGATTGTCGCAACAGTTGTCGGCAACAGGTACAGTCACAGGATCGAGAGCAGGAGCTGCAACTAGCAATGAGGCGTAGGAGTGGGCAGAGGAGAGACGGAAGTCTGCTGTTGAACCTGTGCAAATTTGTGAAGTCTGATTCGCTCGCTACGACGGACCGGTGGTTCAAAAGGGGCGACGGTGGAGAGAGAGATAGGTTGGGCATCGGAAGGAACAGAGAGAGAAGCGGGAGGTGGAGACACGAGCGAGTTAGGTGTCAGAACAGGGCCTAAGTTCGACGGGTGACGCACCTCGTCAACATAGGTTGACATGGAAAAATAATCAATAGCCAAAGGCGCGATAAGGAATCATGTGAGGACTCAGAAACCGAAAAAGAAAGCACACTAGGAGGAACCAAAGGGTTAGCACATGGTGGAGAATCACGAACATATTTAAGAAGATATTGTACAGAAGACATAAAGTCAACGCTTGGAGGAACTAAATCGGCAAAACTGTCCCAAGGTCTTCGAGAGAAGTAAGGAGTTTGTTCTTGGGAGACGACATCCCAAGATATATATGTACATTCACTTGTAGGATGATAGAATTTCAACCCCTTCTGATCCGATGGATAACCGAGGAAGACGAAATGAATGCTCTCGCTATCGAGTTTAGTGCGACCGACATCTACAAGCAAAGGATAGCATACGCAACTGAAAACACGTAAGTGAGAAACCAAATCCTTAGTGTTTCGAAGTATCTCAAAGGGAGAGAGGTCATGTAAGACTTTGTTCGGGAGACCTTTGATGAGGTAACAAGCTAAGGTGACGGTATCACTCCAAAAGAGTTTTGGCACATTTCGGTGAAACAAAAGAGTGCGAACCACCTCTATAAGATCGATTTTTGCGTTCAACAACTCCATTTTGCTGCAGAGTGTATAGATATGAACGTTGATGGACTACTCTTTGGGAAGCAAGAAAGTTGCAAAATCGAGTGTTTGTAAACTCTCCATCATTATCCGTTCGAAGAGTCTTAATCTTGCAACCAAAATGGTTAGACACATAAGCAAAAAATTGACGAAAGGCATCAAGCATACCACTCTTGTTATGCAAAAGATAAACCCAAGTATATTTAGATTTTTCATCAATAAACGAAAGAAAATACTTATTATTATCATGTGAGAAAAGTGGTGAAGTCCAAACGTTGGAATGAAACAAATCAAAACAATGTTCATAAATGGCACGAGAAGTTGGAAAAACACTATGACGATGCTTTTCTAGGACACAAGCTTCACAAACACCGTAATCTAAGGTCGACTCTTGAACAAGTAACTTTAGCACTTTGTGATGAGGATGTCTTAGTTGGGCATGCCAAAATGACTTAAAGGCTTGCTCGGAACAAAGGGAATTATCGTCAATGACATAAAGATTGTCCTTCTTGCTACCCATTCCAAGGAACTCACCCGTCTTAGTATCCTGAATAACAACATTATTAGAATCAAATGTAATTGACCAATCGATTTGATTAATGAGCGCAGAAATAGATAATAAATTTGTTTTAAAATCAAGAACATGTGATGCGGGCACGAGTTTTTCAAAGATCGATAAGTGATCTTGTCCAACAATAGGGACGTGTTGACCATCGGCCACAGACACGTGACTCGAAAGATGCTTAGTTTTGCATAATAAGTTCGAGTCATTAATAATGTGATTAGTCACTCTGGAATCAATAATAAAAGACGATAAAGTAATATGAGAAGATGAAAAAGTTACGTTACCAGACTCTTTGTCTTTCATGGCAATGAGGAGTTGTTTGAAGCCAAGAACTTCATCCAGAATGAAGCTCATAGTCATGGTCATGGTCGTCATTGCTTGGCTCCGGTTTGATGAGGGCTCCATGTAACAGGAAAGGCTTCAGATGAGGATGGAACAACCAACACTTATCACAAGTATAACCAGTTTTCTTGCAATGCTCACATGTAAGAGGGCAACAATCTCTACCCGTCGTATGACTCGGTGAGAAAGGATCTTTGCGATGGTGAGCGAGCTCACTCGGGCTTGCAAATAAGTTATGACCTCCTTCCTCCCTCTTAATCATCATACACACCTCATCATATTTAAGGAGTTGTTCTTGAAGAAGAATATGATATATAAGATCATTATAAGAGCCATCAAGTGTAAGAAGAATCGAAAACACATTATCTTCTTCCAACTGTTGTTTGAATGCCTTGATGTCCACTGTAGAAAGGCATAAATCTTCTAATTCAGTCGATAGGCACTAAATTCTCCATGAATGGTGTTGAATGATTTGTCATTCTACTGCAAAGTAAACATCCTTTTCTTCAAGTCAATGATATGAAAAAGGTTTGTCACATTACCATAAACACTTTGTTGAAGTGCTTCGCATAGCTCTTTGGCAGTCTCCAGAGCAATGAATGATTTCAGCACATTAGAGTCCAATGAGCTCTGCAAGATGGTGAGTGTAAGGTCGTCTTCTTGCACCCATTTTCTTGATCAGCTTATGCTTGGCCAACAGGATTTTCAGTTACGAAAGGAGCAGAAGTCAGGGCTTGAGTTTTAGAGACATGTTCCCAAAGGCCTAAACTCTTGAGCACCGCTTGGCCGCTTTAGACCAATAAACGTAATCGTCGACGATAAGGATAACAAGAAAGTTTTCACGACAATGGCGTCCATTGCTTTCAGCATGAGAGTCAAGGCAAGGGTAAAAAAATGAAAGGAGAAGAAGAAACAAGGCAAAAAGCAAGATATCACCAGCCTTGTAGCTCTATACCATGTCAGACTTTGAGATTAAGAGACAACATGAACTGATGAAATCTGATGGTCAGAAAGAATCCAAATCGAAGAAGACAACACGACACTAGGGTTGTGAAAGAGAGAGATGAAAACAAAAGAATATTACTCTTCGATAATTGGGTCTGTACAAATGTTACAAATTAAATAGAAGGAAAATATATATGCATGAAAAGGTAATAGAATAAATGTAAAAATGTAAATGGAAAGTTTACAATTAGAGAAAAGTAAGATTAAAGTGATTTGTCTAACAACAGATTTGCTTCTTGAGTTGCTTCACTTTCTTGCTTGTCACGTAATCGAGCTTCTCGGTCACTAGTGTCGGACGTGTGCATAGGTTCTCGTTGATCATGTACTTCAGTTATTACCTCGACTCCAACACAAAAATGTACTGTCTTGAAACACGTAAAGAGACCACTTGAATAGATTTCTAAAGTGATCAAATTACATGGGCGATGATGAAAAAAGTAAGAACCCATGATGATCCGTTGATACAAAACAGTAATGTCCCTTTACTGTAGGTGTTAACTAAGTTAAAGAAAAGAAGCTCAAGGCAAAAGGGACGTAGGGATGATAATGCCTCCGATATTCTTGTGCCATGGATCGACCAAGTGAGTCTCCAAGTTCTCCAATGGTCTGGTGTCCAGGTAAGCCGATTTCTGCAGGTAGAATCCCAAGAAAGCAAATAACGCTAGATGCCATACCAAAATGATTATCTCGACTATATTTTCAAGTTTTCATAAACAGTATAAGTTATAAATCGTTTAGATGTTAGTATGTTTTCTATTTAGTATATGAAACTATTTAGTGATTCTTTGATGAATATAACATCATTTTATCAAATGTTTGAGAATAAAAAGGTAAATGAGCAAATAAAAATGTTTGCTTGCGGCTAATTCCAGTATCACTAGTAATGCACGATATTGTAAATGGTTATAATAAAATGATTGATATTTTAAAATAAAAAATGATAATTATTAAGCTCTCTTCAAAAAGTTTCTAAAAATGATAGTCTTTTAAATAGAAAACACTTTAAAACAATGTCATTAAAATTTTTATTGTAATCTCTTTTATGGATGTTATATCAAAATCGTCCAAAACGACCGTTTTAGTATATTTTTATTGATAGTCTAAATATTTGATAGTATAAAAGAAAATAAATGATTAAGAAGAGGCATTAATACCGTTTTTTTATTTCTTTAACCTTCAATTACTCGAACTTCTTAGGGTCTTTGAAGCATCCAAAAGGGTCGAAAGTTTCTCCCGAGTATTTCTTCTTCTCGAGATCTTTTTCCATACTTCTCTGACGTGTTCCGTAAAGGCAATAGCCAAGAACTTGGTCACTGGAATTGTCGGTAGAATCCACCAAGGCACAGAGTTTCCCAAGTATGTGGCTTGTCCTCTCGGGATGACCGCCCACTTTGAATCATATGCAGTGGATAAGCTCTGACTCTTTATACCTTTCCAAATTCTCTAACACTTCTCTTAGTAGGTCGAATCCAAAGTCTCTGTACCAAAAAAATATTAATGAAGAATTGTAAGATCCAAAACTGTAACATTATGGTCTAAATTTAACATATAAATTAATTCAAATTTATTACTGAGTAGATTTATACTACAAAATATATCTTTTTTAAGAATGAAAAACGCTGAGGTATTTTAAGATATTTATGTTCATCGGCGAATTATTAGCAAATCAATTAGTAAGTTGATAAACCAAACAAACTAAACCGAAATTTTTCAACCCGAGTTATCTGAAACTTGAACTGAACCAAACCAAAATTCCTTTGACCATTGGAGAGAAGTTTTGTTATCCAACCATAAATGAAATTCTATGTAAACCGAACTGGATCCAAAACAAAACTTAACCAAACCGAACCCAATTTGCCCAACCCTTGTTTCACCTTATCATTTGAAATTTATAGATAAGTCAAAAACTCACAAGGGAGAGAGAGAGAGGACGAGGGGTTAGCGTTTTTGCGTTACTTTGATCGTACGACATGAATCAGTAACACAAATCACTTACTTGCATAAACCTGTGAGGACGACAATACGTAGTATAACAATACCGAAATCAAATGAGACAACGATTTTTTAACGTGGAAAACTCCCTTGGTGTGAGGAATAAAAACCATGGTACCGTAGTTCACTAAAAAATCACACAACTATATCTCGTGTACAAAAAGCACAATTGAGGTTATAGAATATATACGTCAATATTATAACCTCAATACACCAAGAAAGCACAACTTAACAAATTATAACTTAGGTACCAAGTTAACCCCGCAGATTCTGATTTGAACAACTAATGCAAAATTTTACTATACAAATCAAAGAACATAGGGTCTAGAATTAGCATACCGAATTTTACCTCAATTGGAGAAGAATCCACCGTTTTTTTTCACAACAATCTGATTAGTCGCTCTTTGAAACCCCTGGATAAACAACTTTGGTAAAACCTGTTTTTTTTTTCAATTCTAACTATTGAAATCAAGATCCAACCCAAGAAAAAAGAGTGTAGAAGCTCTCTAAAAACTTTTAGATAGATCGGATAAGAGATTGATATCCGATCAATCGTTTGATCAAAAGCGTTCAAAGCTGTTTTTTCACTCCTCTTCTCCCTTTTCTCTCTTGTGTTTTTTCTTGTTGTTATTGTAATTCATCTGCAGTCCCAAACTCCTCTATTTATAGGAGTTCTACCACCATTTTCTTCCAGAAAAATGGCTGTAAGATTTAAACAAAATGGTTTCAATGGTGACTTCAAAAATAGTGGCTTCTATTGTCGAAATACGTGCTAATTTGAAGAATAGTTTCTCCACCCCAAAATCTTATCAACATGGGAGGAACTCAACAATTTTCCATTTCCCGACTATGTGGACAATCCACCATCCCACCAATCTTGCGACAAATAGCAAGCTTCCCTCTAGGAAGTATCTTTGTCATCAATATGAACCTTCTCGACTTCAACCTCTTTCGAATCAACGACATCTTGAATTCCAGTGATATCTCACATCAATATACTTCGATTTTGAATCGAACGTCTGTTTCTTCCCAAGATGAGTGATGCTCTGATTGTAGCATAACAAGACATGCCTATATTGTTTCAACCCAAACTGCTCAAGAAACCACTTCATCCTCAACAACTCCTTACAATTTTCCATTACGGCAATAAACTCAGTTTCAATGGTAGAAAATACAATGCATTTCTGCAACTGCGATTGCCATGCCATAACCCCGCTTGTAAATATTACCAAGTAACTTGACGTAGATTTTCGAGAATTTGGATAGCCATGTCAGAATCTGTGAATCCAACCAACAAAGGTTTTTCACCTCCAAGCACAATTCTCAAGCTAGAAGCCCCTCGAAGATAACTCAAAATCTACTTCAATAGATGTCAATGTTCTCTTCCTAGATTTGAAAGAAACTGACTGACAACCTCAACAACGTGATCTATATCTGGTCTTATACAAACCATAGCATATATCAAACTTCCCACTCCATAGGTGTATGGAACACGTCTCATATCTTTCTTCTTCGAATCTGTACTTGGACTCTGTTGACTGCTTAATCTAAAGTGTGAAGTAAGAGATGAATTCACAGCTTTAGATTTCTCCATATGGAACCGTTGAAGTACTTTCTCAATGTACTTCTCTTCCGACAGATACAACAACTTGTTACTTCTATCATGATTAATTCTTATCCGAAGAATTTGATTCGTTGGTCCCAAATTGTTCATGACAAAGAACCGACCAAGTTGTTTCTTCAACTCCATTATCTTCCCTGTGTTCTTACCCACAATCAACATATCATCCACGTAGAGCAGAAAGATGATAAAATTATCTTCAATTTGAGGTCGTTTTCTTGTAACCATGCTCCCCCACAATCGATTCAAAATTCTTGTACCATTGTCCCGGTACTTCTTTCAACCCATAAAGCTTTTTCTTCAACCAATGAACGTAGTCCTCTTTGTCCTTCTCAATAAAACCTTCAGGTTGTACCATGTGTTAAATTTCTTACATGTGGACATGATTTGGAGGTGGAGAAATTGTTCTTCAAAGTTAGGCACCTCCTTTGAGAATATGAACCACCATTTTTGAAACCACCATCTTTGAAGCCATTTTGTTTGAATCTTATAGCCATTTTTGTTGAAGAAAATTGTGCTAGAACTTCTATAAATAAGGGAGTTTGGGAGTGTAGATAAATCACAACAAGAAGAAGAAGAACCGCAAGAGAGAAAGAGAGAAATGGAGAAAATGAGTGAAAAAATAATTTTGAACGGTTTTGATCAAACGATCGATCGAATATCGATCTCTTATCCGATCGATCTGAAATTTGAGAGCTTCTACACACTCTTTGTTCTTGTTTTGGATCTTAATTTCAACGGTTAGAATTGAAGAAACATAGGTTTTATGAAAGTTGTTCGTCTAGGGGTTTCAAACCGCGATAGATCTTATTGTTGTAAAAATCAGAGGATGGATTCTTCTCCGATCGAGGTGAAATTTGGTATGCTCATTCTAGACCCTCTGTTCTTTGAGGTTGACTTGGTACCTAAGTTACAACTTGTTAAGTTGTGATCTCTTGGTGTATTGAGGTTAGAATATTGACGTGTATATTCTATAACCTCGGTTGTGTTTCTTGTATACAAGAGATTGTTGTGTGGACGTTATATCCAGTTATAGTGGATTTTGAGTGGACTACGGTCCCGCGGTTTTTACTCATGGCATCCAAGAAACTTTTCCACGTTAAAAATCATTGTCTCGTTTGATTTCGGTATTACTGCACTAGATATTATCATCCTCGCAGATTTACACAAGAGGTTTGTGTTACTGATTCGTGTCGTACGGTCAAAGTAACGTAAAAATCCTAACAAGTGGTATCATAGCACCTGGTTGTGTAGAGCACTTGTGTAAACGATAGAGATCAATATTAGTCGGATGATGAGTTTGAACAGTACTAACTATCACGTGTGAAAAGGCAAGATATATGATATGCTCTACGTGAAAAAAAGTCATCTACCGTTGATCGCTGAGAAAAAACCGGATGGGCAAAACTATGAGTAATGGATATTGCTTCATCGATAAATTTCTGCCTTGATACGATAGTGGGTGGATAATAATGTTTTGAACCATATGGCTGGTGAGACTAATGTTCGATCTTTGTGGAGTAAATTGGAGTAGTTGTAACCTCGAAACACTGGAAATTACAAGTTGTACTTCATCAAGAAATTGGTCGATTTGAAGTTCGTCGAAGGAAGTCCGGTGATGTAATAGATCACTTGAATGTGTTTCAAGGTCTGTTGAACAAGTTATCAGATATGGGGATCATATTCAAAGATGGAGTTCAAAGTTTATGGTTTTTCAACACACTTCCGGATTCTTGGGAGACATGATATAGTTGTCGAAACTCTGAACCTTATCTTGAATGTCTCACATGAATCCGAAAGTGTACTGAGAAGCCATAAACTTTGAACCTCATCTTCGAAGGATCTCATGTCTGACAACTTGTTCAATGGACCTTGAAACAAATTCAAGTGATATATCACTGGATTTCCTTCGACGTACTTCAAACCGACTAGTTTCTTAATGAAGTACAACTTGCGATTCCCAGTGTTTCGAGCGTACAACTGTTCCAACTTGCTCTATAAATATTGAGCATTAGTCTTACTAGCCACATGGTTCAAAACGTTATCATCCACCCACTATTGTATGAAGATACAAACTTGTCGATGCAACAATGTCCATTGCTCATCAGTTTTGCCCTTCAGTTTTTCCTCAAAGATCAACAGTATAACATTCCTTTACGTAAAGCATATTATCCATCTTGTCCTTCCACACGTGATAGTTAGTACCGTTCAAACTCACCATCCGACTAGTATTTGCCTTCATCGTTTACACAAGTGCTCCGCACAATCGGGTACTCTGATACCACTTATTGAGGGGTTTACGTTACTTTGATCGTACGATACGAATCAGTAAACGAACCTCTTACTTGTGTAAACATGCAAGGATGACAATATCTAGTGCAATGGTATCGAAATCAAACTAGATAACGATTTTTAACGTGGAAAACTCCATAGATGTGAGGAATAAAAACCATGAGACTGTAGTCCACTCACAAATCGCTAAGCTGGATTACAATGTCCACACAACAATCCGTGTACAAAAAACACAACCCTAGATGATAGAATATATACATCAATATTATAACCTCAATACACCAACAGAACACAACTTAACAAGTTGTAACTTAGGAACCAAGTCAATCCCGTAGATTCTGATTTCGGCAACTAATGCAAAATTCCACCATACAAATCAAAGAACAGAGAGTCTAGAACGAGCTTACCAAATTTTACCTCGATAGGAGAAGTTCCATCGTTAATTTTCACAACAATCAGACGTGTCGTAGTTTGAAACCCCTGAACTTCTGTTTTTTCAATTCTAACCGTTGAAATCAAGATCCAACCAAAAAAAAAAGTGTTAGAAGCTCTCAACAAAATTTCAGATCGATCGGATAAGAGATCGATCGTTTGATCAAAACCGTTCAAAACTGTTTTTTTTTCTCCTCTTCTCCCTTTCTCTTTTGCGTTTCTTCTTTTTGTTGTTATGATTTATCTGCAATCCCAAACTTTTCTATTTACAAGAGTTTTAGCAGCATTTTCTTCAACAAAAACGGCGGCAAGATTCAAACAAAATAACTTCAAAGATGGTGATTTCAAATATAGTGACTAATATTGTTAAAGAAGATGTCTAATTTTGAAGAACAATTTTTCCGCCTCCAAATCTTGTCCACAAGGAACAAATTTAACACAAGACTAACCTGGCATCCAATTGGCGGACATCATGACTCGGTTGCCGCCGGCGATGGGCAGTGACACTCGACCGGAGACGAATTTTTTTTTTTTTTTTATGTAACCGGAGACGAAATTTGACTTCGATGATGACTAAAACGACGGACACGCGGCGGCGACGCGACAGCTCATTAGCGTGTTCGAAGCCATTTTCTTGCAGATAGGGAAAG